CGATTGGAACGTACCTGTATCCCAAACCCCATAAGCGACACAACAAACAGCATTTACATCTCTGTAAGTTGCCCATAAAATGCTAAAACTGAGGTGCGTTTCGCCACTCCCACATTGGTAAACTTGACGGAAAATAATAGTAAAAGTCAACACTTTTTTGAGAATTGACTAGTAGATTACACTTATCTATGTTTAATTTATTAATTCTTTACTAACAAGCAGATATCTAATAAAAATATAATCAATAATAAACTGGCTTAAAATGAAAGCGATGACGTCACATTTGCTTAATAATTTATACGAATGGCTAAACTAATATATTTAATGCATTTTCAAAATGGCCTGACGTAAGATATGACCTTTTACGTGTGAATAAACCTGTTGCGTTTCGAGACCGTTTCAGGTTTTAAAACACAAAATTGCTTTGGATTTTGAGTGTTGTTTTGCACGTTTTGTGTTTTTATTTCCTGCATATTTTGATTTATACAATATTTATAAATCATCGATAAGGATATATAAATATTGATTATATTACAAATACCGTATTGCAAGGTATATATATGTGTTGTTATTACAATGAAATTTTATACAATAGATATAACTAATTAACTATTGTAGAGTATTATTACAAAGTTTTTTTTTATAAAGTAAAGGACTATAAGACATGAGAATAAGACCGTAGTACGAAAAACTGTCTTTTGAAAATCGATTTAAATTTGAAAAAAAATTACGACACGGGCACGATTTCAACCTATGGAGCTGCATAATGTCATTGTCGAATATTTTTAATGTATTGATACCTACATAGGGACACCTCTCGCTAACTGGTTCAAGTCCAGTGAGTGTCGTATTTTTTTTCAATCAAAAATAATTTTGTAATTTATATTCCTTACATGTTATATGTGAAAATTATTAAATTCTTAATATAAAATTCTTTTGTTTTTTTTACCAAGCTACTTTTATTAATTTATTCTTGTAAATTCGTAGAAGATAAACTTTTATTTAAATCACAGTTAGGTTTTGAGTGTGCGAATAGTGAAAGTTGAATTCAAAAGAATTATAATAATACCAAGATAGACTACTCACAACTATGTACCTTCCTAATTATAGTTGTGTTTATGAATACTGTCTAAATTTCTCACTGTAATAGTTAGTTAACATAATAATAAGTAAAAATACATTTTTTAATTAATGTCTAAAATATAAGGTGTTAGCTTTGGAAGTTGGTAGTCACTTAATTTTTACAAAAAGGGGCTATGAGATGATTATATCTTTTAAACACTCTGTAGAATCACGACAAACAGACAGACAAACAAAAAAATTTTTGACGAATCTAAATAGTTTTTAAAACTTTAAAGAGAATAAAGTAAATTTTATTTTATTTATTTTTTTATAATATTCTTAATTTATGCACATCTAACTTTAAACCAACTTACATGGTCGCATGGGGCTCTCCAGTAAATAATGCATAATTTCCAATAGTAAATGAACATTGGGCACGCTATCAACAAAAAAATATATTCCATTATTAATAGCAGACCATTATGTCTGCCGGGCCATGATAAGCGAAACATTAACACTGAACAATATAATTTATATATATGTATTCGATAGTATTATTTTAATAATTATTCCAGGAAAACCAGGTCGATAATTATTAATATTTTACATACAATTTGAACAAAGGAATGTTTAATTAACACATTATGTGATTATAAATATAATTGTTATATTATGACCTTACAAAGTACGGTTTACAATTATTGTAACAAGGATTAAATTGATTTGAAATAACTATTACTGCAGCGCTGTTATCCGACTATGATGACACAAAAAGGTATGTTGATTTGTTTTGCTATGATTGTTTGTATGTCAGTTGCACTATCTTAAAACATTGAGTCGAGTTTAGTGTCCGACAAGCGCTTCTAGAATACGCTATTCAATAAAACAATAGAATAAACGTAAAAATCACAAAAAGAAAAAAATAGGCCCAAAAAAAAAGGTATAACGCCATTTATCACCACTTACTTGGCCATCCTCATAAGAGGTTCATGTCCCTCACCATGGTGGTGATGGCAGTATTAAGTTTTAATACGCATATTATAACCTTCTTCTTACTTTTTTTGCCATCTATACTTTTCCACAGTTAATCGTTTTTTTTTACCGTCAAGATGCAGATTCTTCTATTTTTAATTGTCATTAAATAATTATTTATTATTGTTATTACAACATCTTCGCTAATCTTTTATGTAAGCTTAAAAAGATAGTAAAATCTAAAAATTACAGATGAAAGTGTATTTTTGTATGTTTTTTTTCGTGACCTGTAATGAATGAACTGTATCTAATGTGGAATAGACGGATATATTTATGGTTCAGAACCATAAATGTCCCCGTCCCGTGAAGCTTTTCTTATCATCGAAGGTAGAAAGAAATACATTTTCGCTGTATTTCAAATTCAAATTCAAAACCTTTATTGTTATCATATGATATTTACAAACTTATGACATAACTAAATTGTGTGCATAGAAATAATATTAATATAAGTAATACATATATATAAGGGATGGCAATCGGTACCAGTCTCAGCTATGCAGCTGAATGCTTGTCACATTCAGCAGCGCTGGTTTTCAGACTGGCCTGGGCATAGAAGGAAAGGAGTCAAGTTAAGTAAAGTAATATAATTCCAAGATAGATATACCATAACAAACATATACATAATAAAATAATAAATATAACCATTAATTGTTGCACATCTGCTTTCCAAGGTCCAGTTTAACATGCCGCTTGAAAGTCATATAATATGTCATTTCCTTAGAACTAGTTCTAAGAAGCGGAGGTGTTACTTGTTACTTTCTTTACTAGGCGGTTACTTGTGTTTCAGTTGCGTTTATTGGTAACAGGAAAAAATTCATACCAAGTTTTACACACATTTTTAATTTTATCCCATGATGCTCCTGTCCTGTAAGCTTAATCTTAGCGGTTTCTTATCTACACTTCAAATGTATTGTTTACGATAATGACGTAATCAGCGGGTATATTTCCCTCAGAAACCTTTGTTCCGATGGTGGAGATCTAGACTTAGCTACCCTTATTCAATTCCAGTAGTGGAGATCTGTAACAAGAGCATACAATATAAGAAAATAGATCAGCATATCATTGTTTTTCGGGCTGTTCGGCCGATGTGAGCGAGAAGAGGTTCTCGACGTTTCGACATCATGTGCGGACGGCGTCATTAGGAGATGTTAACTCCTCGATTGCTCGAAGAATTATTATAATTACGCCCCGAAAAACAATGATATGCTGAACGATGGTAGTGAATTGCTTACACCATTTGTTAAGAAAATAGATAATCACATCTTATCCTTTATGTTTCATTAGTTAATCAAAGTCGCATTTCATTCTTTCAGTTTTACACGACTATAAATAGCAAACATAAATCCTATAACAATTTATCTTATTGCTGAAGAGATTGTTTATTTAAACGATAATCACAGGACCTACTGGTTCAGTTGGAAAAATTTTTGCTTAGACAATTTCCCGGGGGAGGGTTTTTAAATAAAAAAAGGGGGGGGGGGGGGGGGGGGGGGGGGGGAAAAAGGGAAAAAAAAAAAAAACCCCCATTTTTTTTTCCCGGCCAATTTTTTTTTTTTTAAAAAAAAAAAACCAAAACCTTTCTTTTTTTTTTTTTTTTTTTTTTTTTTTTTTCCAAAAAAAAAAAAAAAGGCCCCCCCCCCCAATTTATTATATAAAAAACCCCCCCCCCCCTTCCTTTTCTTTTTCTTTTTTTTTTTTTTTTGGGGGGGGGGGGGGTGGGTTTTTTTTAAAAAAAAAAAAAAAGCACAATTTTTTTTTTTTTTTTGGTGTGTTTTGGTTTCCCCCCCCCCCCCCCCCCCCCCTCCCCCCTTCTTTTTTTTTTTTTTTTTTTTTTTTTTTTTTTTTTTTTTTTTTTTTTTTTTTTTTTCAAAAAGAATATCTTCTTGTTTTGTAAGAATATGGAATTTATTTATCACTATTCTCTTAAATATCAAAAAAGATTAATAAACAAAAACCGGTGTTAGTAATTTCTATTTTCGTTACAAAATAATTAAAAAACCCTGTTGATTAGTAATATAGATGAAAATAATTACCTTAGGCGGGAAGCAAATGCATCCTTAAAATAAGTTGTTATGGTACACTGTCTAAATTTCAATTAGTTGCTTCTGGAAGAAGACTTCTTGAAGAAGACTATCGCAGCATATTAATTGTATGTAGTAATATAAAAAAAAGTTTACCATTATAATTTTCTGTTTGGATGCCTTAGTAGACAATAGTTGTTTTTCTTTACGTCATATGCTAATTTAAAACTGCGCAGTTTTCGACGGTTACAAAATTTTTAAATTTACTGTATCTATAACTTAATTGTAACAGTGGCTTTATTTTCGGTATCGGATTTTAATAAAAATAATTTAAGTTAGAAGATCTGTTCAGCGCTTTATTAGTATGTAACAAATATTAAAAAATAATTTGTATTTTTATTGATAATAAATTGAAAAGATTTACGACACGGACAGAACACACTGGGACACGGTAGCTCAGTTGGTTAGAGCACGGAACGCTATGGATGCCTATTTTTTTTCACATTATAAACGATTTTAAATTAATAACTTGAAAAGTGCTTATTTGGGGGCCCTTTTTTTTATTTAAATACATGTTATTCTGAAAAATATTTTCGACTCGGGCGGGACTTGACCCGGCCCCGTAATCTTTTTCAATTACGTAGACTAGCTCATTGGTAGGCGCCGAGTGGGATGCCGGTTCCAGTCCCCCCCGAGTTGAAATTTTTTTTTTTTTTTTTTATAAGATCATGTGAAAAATATTTATATTGTTCAAATCACTATAATATATAAAAAATTTATATGTCACAAGCCTCAGCATTATGAGGCAAACTCGGTTTTTAAGCTAATGTTAAATGTCAGGCAAACTATTTATATTGTTTTATTACTTTAAGAAACATAGTTCCATCATCTACTCAAAGGCCTATTTGCAAGGTTGAAGACGAAGTCCAAAATACTTCCGTTACACACGACTCTGTCTGTGTCGGCCGTCTCACGTCTCAGTCTGAAAATTCAACAAAAAGTTCATGTAACCAAAAATGTATTTTTATTAAAGGAATTATAGCTCTGTTAAAATTTCGCAGCCACAAAGACTATAGGGAAAATGTTGCTCGAAAATACTGTTTTTTAAAACTTATTTCCCATGTTTTACTTTTACTAAATGACTTATAAAGAATGCATCCAATCAGGATTATATCCAGTTTTTTTTTGTAGTATTTGACCGACTTTTTGTAAAAAATAACAAAATAGTATGTCTACACTCGCGTAAACTACAGACATACAGTAACAAGCTTCTGCTTAAGGTAGAACAAGCTCCAACAAACAAATAAACTAACGCAGTATATATAAGTAGGTACATAACGTTAAGTCGCCACAAGATGAGGAAAATGTTGCAAAAACTATTTGTAATGCAATATGAAGGATTCGAAGTCATGTATTTCAAGCACACTTTCAACGGTTTTAAACGCGAAATATATCAACTTATTTTTTAATGCAGCAGCCGTGACCGGACTAAAACGATATAGTCCGACTTTTGAATCGTTAAAGTGTCTTTGCAAATGATTAATATTATATTTGAGTTATTATTTTTTTTAAACTTAATACGTTTTTAAAGCCTTAACGGCCTCGACCTTGCCCCGCAGCTTGTCGGTCTTAGAAAACGCTCCAACTCAGTTACACGTGCCAGTTTACCAACTGGTTAGGTTGAAACCCCGAATTTGCAGCCGTCTACGAAATACGTTTAAACGTGGCGTGTACATTTTGAAGTTGTATAACAATGGCGGCGAGTTAGGTAGTTATGATAGAAGCGAATCTTGAGGCATAGCGCTGATTATATGATATCATCATATATGGTTGTACATTTTCGGTCTTTCAATGTTTTTTAAAATTTAGATTTCCTATATAACACAATGGTAGTAAATTTGCTTTTTTCATTAGAGGATGTCATTGTATAGCTATTTTAAAGCGTAGCTATAGGGCGGTTAAAAAGGTATACAACACATACATATTTTGGTTCTGGGACATTCCCACTATTAGCCCTTACTGTTGATTACCCTACGGCATCGTAAGAAGACATGCTCAATAGAGTTTATTTCGACATCAAATGTTCATGTCATCTAATACAAAAAAAATATTTAATACAAGTCCTAAAATAATTAATAGAATGTTATATCTGCATGTATTGGTAATTTATAAATTAAATCAAAACTTAGGTATTATACCAGCAATTATGAAAAGTTTAGAATGATTTTGACTATAAGAAATAGAAAAATCTGATTAAGTCAGAGATGAACTTTTTGTTACATTTAGACAGGACGCAAAGCTGAAATCGTCGGCCCTAGTAGTTATAATATATTCAAAATAAGTCAACTCACATATTTCGCGTTTTAAGCAGTTAAAAGTCTTTTATTCAAACGAATTTATCATATTTTTTATATTTGTCAATAAATACAGCGATATATATCCCTATTATCATATTTTCCTTTTAATTTGGTAATTCATTATGGCACTAACACGTAGTGTACTTTTGAACCTAACGGTAAATATTTCTAATTAGCCTGTGTACCCTAACGTAAAATGTATGCTATATACCGAGTAAAAATGCAAAGTTTTTATTTCTATAGTATAATTTAATCCTCCCTCGGAATAAGCCAGAGCCATGGGCATGGCTTTTGTGAAAAGAAAAAATATCTATTCATAATATAGCATTTCTAAATTAATGAGTAGTAATGAAGTTAATAAAGTATGGCTATTTTAAAGCACTAATAGCTTATGTACCTACATTACAAATAATTAGAATTTACGGTTTTAAAATTTTCTCTCTGACAGAATTCACTACCTCAGCACTGAGATCTTCAAATATTGCATATTTATGAGTCTAACTAAATTAGTCATTAAAGTCATATTGTATTTGAAGAGTTTAATATCAATAATAATAATAAATTATTAAGCATTATATTGCTTAGCTAATAATAAAATAAAAATAATTCATCTTGTATTTGAAGAGTCAGGTTAAGTTGAGGTTGAGCTTAGAGATTGAGTTTAATATATTTCTACGATACTTCATAATATGTGTCTAGTAACACTCACAACTAGATAAACTAGAAAACTAGAATAAAATATTGAAAAGTCTCATGGCCATATTTCGAACGCATATTTCAAGGACGTTGTGGACATCAATAATAGTGGATCCTTACCATTAGTAGAAATAAGTTAGCTGACCTGGAAAACCTCAAAGTTCAACTTTTCCACATTGAAACATGATGTTTTATACCCTATACCTTTCCTCGACAAATGGTACAACCAATACAAAGGGTATTTTTAAATTAGAACCAGTAGTTCATGAGATTAGCGCGTTTAAATAAACAAAGTTGTCAGATTTACAATATTAGTACAGATGCATGTAAAATTGTACAAGTGTCAGCTAAGGCGTAACTTGACCGAAAAAACCATAAGCACACATTAAAAGTGCTGTCCCAAGGATCCTCCACAAGTTGCCAAGTAAGATAAGTATTATATTGTAACGAATTGCTTACTACCTAAACAATTCTTTCCTAACTATTGATTTGCTTTAAACATATATATGGTCATACAGTATATGATAGCATCTAAAAAAGGTATATAAACAAACGTTCAAGTGGTGAAAGAACGTTGTTAAATTATACCTAGTATACCTATTAAACGCGTTGCAGAATATAACCGGTAGCCTACCACTGGTCTTAAGTGGTTCCTGGAATATTAATCTTTTCTCATTTAAAATATACCCCCCTTTTTGTAACATCATAACCCGACGTCCTCACGGAAGGCAAGGGTTACACGAAACGGATTTGCAAGGTTGAAATAATTATTTGAATAGAAGTGAAGTCGAATAATACAATAACTATATAAATTTATACACGTATTGTTTCGTATATGTACGTAATCGTACATAAACAAATAATAAGAGAATTCGTGGAATATCTCATATACCTACCTATAATATGAGATATTTCACGATTCTGGATCTAGATTGAGTAATTACCTCTGTATACGTAAGCTTTGCGATGCAACATTTTCATTCTGTTTTGCGTACTTACTTTAGGATATATCGTTAATTTTTAAGGTTGCTACATCTATTGTCGGCTACTTATCTAATTATTACATTAGTAAGCGAATAAATAAAATTACACAACTAGGAATATTAGAAAATCCACGTCAATTCTCCTTTAAATCCTACCTGTTAGAGTATAGAATATAGGTAGATAGATCTTTGTGACTGCCAAAATTCAAAATGGCGCCGAGTCGTTAGTATCCTACACGTATCGTATATATATGTATCCATAGTATAAACTCAAATATAAACTTGAAAGTCCAGTCCTTTTCATAACCCATCACTTTTGAGGGAGGGGGCATAACTTGCTATAATTATTGCTAATCTTCGGTTCTTCTGATGTGTTACGTGAACTGCAATAAAAAGTTTAACAATTTCAGGCATATTTTAATAACTATGACATTTAGAGAAGAATTTTCTACCTTATACTCTTTTCGATTTCTCTTAAAGAGTATAAGGCATTCATATCGATTGTATTTACCAGTGGTTGATCAGTCGTCTGTACCGAAACGTTTTGTGACTTACAAAGTCGGTAAGGACGGTAAATTATAAAAAGAAGAATTTACGCTAACCTTATTTAATCATATTCCTTTTAAATCTGATCTTTGATGTAAAAACAAGACCTACATTTATTTATTAGGTACGTTATTGAATCGATAAGTAAATATTGTAAAAGAGACACATTTCCCATCGTGTGCAGTGTAAAGGGAATATACATTTCCTAACAGTAGGTATAGCATTTATCTCGTGAAAATAGCTTGTGAAAAGACATGTCTTCTATAGGTATAATCATACCTAAAAATCTAGATAAATTTGTTTTAATGCACTTTCTATTGAAGATAAATTGAGACGAAGAATTGGTAAGTACTAATAGTATTTGTTTGTATTACTTATTATGGTAATTATATTATTGGATACACCAAACTTAAGGATGTTGGAGTATATATTTCCAGTTAGGTTTAGAATTCTATTAGGTACGTGTCTGTTCATTAATATATTAATATTATGCTTAATAACAGTTCATGTTTTTATTACCTTAAAGATCTAAAATGCTTATTAAAATTACTTTTTTAATTCTATCATACATTACTTTGTGTTAAGGTACATATACATGATATAGCATTATTTAAAAACGTACACATTTCTCTGTGCAATTATGCACGTCCGGTTTAGTTTTTACGTAGCCATTTGCAAATACTGTGCCTACATTACGAAAACAAAATGGAGGATTGTCAGATATCTTTGACGAAGAAATATTATAGTGTAAGTGCGCTATGTAGCTCTAGGTTTATTTAAATTGGCTATTAATGCAGAATTTTAATTATTTTGTTATATAATATATATGTACAAGAGTAGTACTGTAATAAGTATTGAATTTAGGGGCTCTTGTAGGCGCAGGAATAATGTTACTTTTTGCACTTGAAAAATTACGAAAAATACTAATGAACAGTACTTAGCATTCATTTTACTGTATTCATTTGGTGTGTCTAAAAATTAATTATTACAAAAAAACAAACTCGTATTTCTTAAAGGCCAGGCTGGAAAGGCAGCTCCAAATGAAAGGAGTATCTGCATTTTTACTGGCAAGCTAAATCCTACCGTATTGTAAGTTGTTAGAGTACTAAAACACTAAGCAATGATATCTTTATTGAAACGTAGTTTGTTCAGTAGGTAGGAATAGAAACCGACCAATCAGAATCGTTGCAAAAAGGCGAATGCATACTGATTTCTGCCAACGATCACTGGCTGGCCGTGACTATATTCATATTTGAGTAAAACGATAAAAAATGAGAAATACAAAGTTGGTTCTCGTATTTTTTCATATTTGTCTTCAAAGTTTAATGTACAATTTAACCGGACATAGATAAACGGATTTATTAAGTATCACCTAATTAACAATTAATTAAATCAGGGATGATACGACACGATAACCAAAGCCGAAATGGTATATCTACGACATGACAAGGTCCACTTTTCATTTGCCAGCGTGGCCATTAGGATCAATTTTTTGCATTTATTCGGGCCAAAACAAGTTTCTCGTGAATGAGTGTAAATAAAGGTCAGAAGGTATACAGGCCCCTAAGATCTGATTGGCCAAGGGACGTTCGTGTTGTGATGGCTGATCGTTCCACAGCTTAGCCTAGAAATAAAACAACTGGGCGTCTACCTGGAATTTTGGAGAACCTGATGCAGAATTTTGGATCAAGTATAATGCTCCCGACCATACTCGGAGAAGTGTTTAATATTCATTCAACTGTCCAAAGTCAAAAACACAGCACATCATGCTCAAATGTCATACAGGGCTAGGCTAATTTCAACAACAAGAAAGACCCATGCTTGTCCTCTTCTATCATAATATATTATGTTCTGTATTAAGTTATTGACCAAATAAGGAAAAAAACTGCTTCAAACCAGTAAAATAGATGAATGCATGAAAATAATAATTATTGCCTCCTAAGGCTCTAAAGAGAAAAGAGCTAACTTGTTTTTCTTCCCCTAAAGGGGGCAAAAATACCTATTCTAATCTTTCGATTATTAAAGGGAAGGTAAATTGTATTATTTCAATTATGCAATTTCAAGTTTCCTCAATCAGAAATATGTCTCGTTTAGGATTTCCTCGTTCAATAATTATATTTGCTGCTGTACTGATTTGTTTAATGTGTTATTATAATGCGTTAGCCTGCAAATTATATGTAACATCACATTTTTACCTAACGGATACTAACAGGTTCAGAATCACTACAGTTATAATATGTCTTGTTAGAAATAAATTATTTCTTGTTAGTAGTAAGAGAAAGTTTTCTCCTGTCAGAAAAATAAGTCTGCATTAATAATTTCCTTAAGTTAAGAACAATAGTATCAAGTATAAATTGTGTATTGTTCTTAGATTTCACTCCGTTAAATATATTTTTCGCGATTTTAAGGATATTATAATAACTACCAAATCTCTCTAATTTCAAGGAGTATAAGCGTACTCCTTGAAATGGCTGCAAACTGATAAATTTATTTTAAAGAAAATTAGAAATCTAACTCAAATTATTGCATCTCCGTGTTGGTGTTTTTTTTTTTTTTTTTTTTTTTTTTTTTTCTTCCTCCCCCCCCCCTTTCATACAAACAATTTTAAACCCAAAAGTTCGGATCATATTTGATATTAGTTTAACTCATATATTTCAACTTTTAGGCAGTTAAAAGCGTTTTATTTAAATATTTTTAAGTTACTGCTATAGCATAACAAGCATCACTTAAACGGAGCGCATTAAATGGCATTGAGATCAACTTATTTTTATTGTTGAAAAGCACTTCCTTTTATAAAAAATAAATTAAAGTTTTACACTTAAAAAGGGTAATACAGGTGTATCCATGCCACGCGTAAATTGTATAAAAAATACGTTAATTAATGTTAAATTAACTCGCTGGTTTCCGTTGCTGTTGCCATTATAGGTCCTTTTATATGCATAGGTCGTGTTCACTGTGTAGTTTACTTTTATACGCGTACACGACATTCTTTTTACAATCTATATTTACGACAAGGTCGCTTGCACCGTTAATTAATTATTTAGTCTATGGAAACAAAAGTCTGCACAGATTTACGAATAAAATTTTTGGGCTTTTAAATATGCTCTCTTAAAGCCCTTCATTGCTGCATACTCATGATTACTACAATTATTAAAAAAATCTCAAAACAATTTTGATATCGTTGTCTACCTATTATAAATATTTCATCGTCCATCAAGAGAACTGCATACTAGTACGTCCTCTTATATCATAAATGTAGTAACCAGTGTTACTTTTATTTAAATTAAAAATCTAATACATTGTACAAAGTTTAAGACACGGGCGGAACTTCAACCGGCTTCACAGCGTACCGTGCTGTTGCTTTAACCAATTGAGCTACAGTGTCCTACATGTCATCGTCGAATTTCTCCAACCTTTCTTGCAATAATTAATTGTCAAGAAGCGGTGGAAATGTAACAGATACATTTTATAGTCATATATAGGAATACTGTCGTCACAGCTTTGCAGTGCACCAGGAATAGGGTAAGAACAAAACCATTTCTTACATAATGACTGAATAACATAAAAAAAGTATTATATTCAAATATAATGCACCGAAGAGTAGCATTTGCTAGGAACAAAACAGCAGATCTATTTAAATAAAACACTTTAACGGTTTAAAACGCGATATATTAGTTAAACTTATTTGAAAATGATTTTAAACTTCGGCCCGACGTTTCGGACCTTTGCAGCAGGCGCGACCACGGCTGCTGCAGAGTGTACTACTCGCGTAAACTATAGACAGTATTTAAAACAGCAGATCCACAACAATTTAGTACTTACCTTAATTTCACTCCCGGTTTTGACACGACGTTAATTTTCGTATTAATAGCTTGTATAATATATTGTTCATAAATACTCTTATTAAAAATATGTTATACAAGCTATTAAGAAGGAAGTTAAGACCACCATCGTCACTGAATTTCCCTATTTTTCATGGTACAAATCACAATTTCGTATCACATATCCCACCAGAACTTCGACTGAAGCGCTGGTCTAGTATTGGTAAGGTTTTATTGTAAATTACAACTTCCCGCTTTGGGTTTGATGAACTTTGCTTTTGAAGATATGCGAATACATTAAACTGCTGAGACACGTGTAAGATATAATACAGGATGGTTGCGTTTCCGAGAAAGTGGATCTGGGCATCAATTTTATTATTTCTTTAAATTAAATAAATTCAAACTTGACAATTTAAAAGAACTATTTAAAACAATTTAACTAATTGGATATGAAGCGCGGTCGAATCGCTAAAGTATATAAACTGCAATAAATTATGATTAAGTAGGTATTTTATTACTAAGTACATTTTTTGGCGATTTGGTCATTTATTTAACCGTCTAATTGTTCTGGCTGAAATTTCAACAAAATATTTTATACTGTTAATGTAATATTATAAATATAATCATAATATGTTGCAATATTTTTCTTAAACTAGAATAATTTAGTAGATATTAAAGAAACCTGGATTTAAAGTAAAAATCAAAAAGAAATGGAAAAAATTACAACTCAGCCATCATGTGAAATAACACGTGAAAAATGTTAAAGTTTGCAAACCTGGATGGATTGGTTTACTGAATATTATCAGCGCTAAATAGTTTTTTATACTGCTGTGATAATTTCTTAACATCCTGTAGATTGAGTGTATTGTATACATAACTATATCTTTACACCCAGATTTATCATGATTGTTATAGTACACGTGTAGAGCGGACATCGTCAGACTTCAAGGTCCACGGTAGGCCCATTTTTGAGATACTGTGAGCGCTTTTTTGTGTAGAATTCGACAGACACGTATACATTTTTTTTTATGCTGTATTTAATTTCCCATGTCTGAACCAAACGTACCATTACGTAGCACAGACGCAAGTCATACATCATGACGACTTTGTAGTTAAATTATTTTAAATTGTGCATTGTTTATCTTTCTTTATATTTTATTTTTTAATCTTTATCACATATAAACTCCCCCGGCTATGAACTTTGTATAAATTGTCTCTTAGCGAACAATTTACAATAGGTAAAAGAAGGTATTTTTAACTTCAGTCGTACCTTTGTGTCTACACCATGTAATTAAGAATTAATTAATGGTAGTAATTAATTCTTAATACACTCTCTTGTCTCTGTTTGTTTTAATACTGTAAACAGAGACGAGATCATTGCTTGTTCTTCGTAATAATACAATGTATATGGCCATGAAGCGTGTAATTTTATCAATCAAAAGTAGGTAACTAAAATGCTGTTTAATGCAGTTACCATAAAGCAGCATTTTAGTTACCTATACAACAAATATATAAATCTATGCTAATATTTTAAAGTATTATTACTATCCATATAATATCCATTTAAGCTTTTAAGTTTAATTGGTTTGTTTTTTGTTTGAACACGCAAATCTTAGGATCTACTGGTTCGAATTGAAATATTATTTTTGTGTTACTTAGACTATTTATTGAAGCAGACGTTAGGCTATAAAAATCAGGCTGCGAAGAGACAGAGGGAAATGTGGAAAAAACGAGAAATTTAAATCTCATTGCGTGAAGAGTATAAAAACCAAAATATATAATAAAATAATGATTCTTCTTTGAAACATAGAAAAATATAATAATATTAAAGATTAACTTACAGAAAGTGATTTAATGGTAATCAAATTTTGATCAAAATACTTAAAAAAACAAACGTTTTACATGGTAGCTAGTAATTTACAATTATGCCTTAAATTGATGCCTACAATAACTTTTCCTTGCGGGCGCAGCTAGTACTTCATAATATGACAAAGGAACTTAGTGGTAGGGACCATACTCTGATAATATAACGTTTATTAAATACAAGAGTCGACAAGACTAGAACCAAAAAAGATCAAGAACAGTCAGTAAAAGTACATAACATTAATGGAACTTGAATTTACGACGCGTCATCGCCGAAAAGGCATTGTATTAAAAGTGCAAGATCCCCCTTTTTTAATATTCTTTATTCTATACTAGCTGAGTCAGCCACGTCGTACGCGTCCGCGTAGAATAGTTGTTTTGGGCATCCAAATTTATTTTTGCAAACCTCTACATATTTTAAAATTAAATTTAAGCTGCCCGCGACATCGGTCGCGTCCCGTCGCTTGGGCTCCGTCGTTATTGCAAGTTAATCTTAAAAGATAGAAATATAGCGTCGTGGATTTTTTTAGATCATTTAAAGAGGAATCCCCCGTTTTGTTCACATTTCTCGCTGTGTCTTCGTTTCTAGTGACAGTGCAATGGTTTATAGCGTATAGCCTTTCTCGATAAATAGTCTAACCAACGCAAAAATAATATTTCAATTCGTAATAAGGATTGTCTGACCGTATTGTCTTTATGAATCTAATTATTTTTGAGGCACCGTAACGCAGCTTCTTCTCATCCTTTTGGAGTCTTGTGCCGTGATATTTTAATGATTTTTGGGACCTCGAATAGTTTTTCAGTTTATAGTGATCTTTATTTATATGTTTTATGTACTATGTTAACACATTCCCTGCGGCACAGATTTATCTGTACATTCCATTATTGCGTTACGGGTCATTTTAAACCTTGTACTATACAAGACATTGTGGCGATACGAGTCATATTAAACCCCACTTCCTGTAGGAGACAAAAATCCTCTCTTTGGGGCCAAAAAAGACATAGTGGACGACTTTTGGTCGTGATTTTTATTAGCTTAGCTATTTTATTTTGTTAATTATTTAAATAAATAGTTGTAATGTTTTTAGTAATGTTTTTTCTTACCGCTACAACGATGAGACACGAACAGGGTGTTTTAAGCCCTGTTTCGCAGTGAACGTGTTAATCTTAGACGAATATAGTATACATATTATAATGCACTAATTAAAAGTATTACTGTTGTAGACTGTAGTTTAATACAATTTCTGTTGTAAAATATTTTTTGTCTGCCCGCTATTTATTGAGTAAAACCCTGTTCACAATGACAGTATGCAAGTTGTACTATTTATCGTTTATAATCGATGCTAATATAGGTTTTGTAACTGACTAGCTTGTTTGGTGGACTTATTTTTTGCTGCCCGCCATTACAAAACATTTATAATATCTGGTACAGTGCTAAAAAATTAAATTCATTACGTTTTTGAAACAGATAAACTTTCGACATTAAATTCTGATATCTTATTCACCTTAGTGGAACGAGATGATAAAGACGATATAGATTTGCACCAATGCGACGCAACACACAACGCCAATCATATTATTGTAGTAAATGTAATGAATATAGCAAAATGCATGTGTTTCATTGGTTTACTACCTTATTTATTTATGACGTAAGTTTGGGTCCAACCATGTTAACGTTGTCTAAACGATAGCGAAGTTCGTAAAGATAGTGACATATGAGTTACTGGTGTATAAGAATCTTATTATTATATATTTGTATTAACGAACGTATTGTCTATAGTTTACACGAGTAGTACACATTTAAAACCCTTTTAATGGTTGAAAACGCGAAATATCGCCGCCGGTTCCTTCGTGACCACGGCTGGTGCAAAGCATGCGAAACGTCGGGCCCTAATAACATAAATTTCAAAGAAATAACTTCCGTGAAATTTATTTTTGCTTCTTAACCTTCCAAGTGTTTTTTTTAACTAATACGTTCTTATACTGTACCAGTTGTGTCAGCGACTTCGTCCGCGTAGAATAGTTGTTTTGGGCATCCAAATTTGTTTTTGCAAAGCTCTACATCTTTATAAATTTAAGTTGCCCACGATCGGTCGCGTCTTGTCGTTCTTGCAAGTTAATCTTAAAAGATAGACATATATTATTTAAAGAGGAATCATTCCTTTATACGTATTTTTTGGGTGTCTTGAACTGTTTTCGCAGAGTACGCATCAGAAACCCACAGAGATGAAACATTTCTCCCGTTCTGTTTACATTTCCAACGAAATCTTCGCTTTTATTAGTCAAAGCGCGATGTTTTATAGCCTTATAGGCTTCCTCGATAAATGCTCTAACACAAAATTTATAATTTTTCAATTCGAACCCGTAGTTACTGACATTAGCGCGTTCCGGTTTGCTTGCAGAATCTTATTATTTTTTCCATCTGTAGTTCTTTAATGTTATCTTCTGTAACTTCGTCCGAACCCATATGCATTTATCTTAGTATCGAGTACGCAGAGCATTCAGTGAGTAGACGGATGCTTGTCCTTACTTTCTCAGCACTCCGGACATAGGGGGTCTCTACCTATTTCTATCATTGTAAGATACACGTCACTGTGTCGGGTGATGGTTTAGTGATTGAAGGATTGAATGATTCTTAGCACATTCTTGTCAAGTCGCAATTATAAATATTAACGCAGTATTTAATCAAATATTAATGAGCACATGAGTTAATGCGATATATGTTACAATGTGATGATGGTTTCGCTACAATATCATATACTGACTTACGAGGACAGACTTTTGTATTATCTCTTCATTGCAACAAAGGTTTTTTATTTTATTTCTCTGTCATTCCAGACACTATTTATAACATTGCATTAGTCTTCGAAGTCACCTCCAATTCTTTACTATAAAAATATAAGCTACTAGCTGTGCCAGTGACTTCGTCCGCGAGAATCGTTATTTTGGGCATCCAAATTAGGTTTTGCAAACCCCGTCATCTTTATAAACTTAAGCTGTTAGCCACGACGTCGATCGCGTCCCTTCCCGTCGTTCTTGCAAACTAATCTTGAAATAGAGACATATAGCATCGCGGACTTTTTCTTAGATCATTTAAAGAGAAATAATTCTTTCATACAGATTTTTTAGTTAACTTGAACCATTTTCGCAGCGTACGCAACTGAAGTCCACAGAGATGAAAAATGTCCACCGTATTGTTTACTTTTCACGGTGCATCTTCGCTTCTACTACACACACAGTCACAGCGCGATGATAAATGTTCTAACCAACCCAAAAATAATTTTTCAATTTGAACCCGTAGTTCCTGAGATTAGCGCGTTCAAACAAACAAACAAACTCTTCAGCTTTATATATTAGTATAGATTTGTGTAATAAAATTGTGTCCTTTTTGCAGGGACCATAGTACAAGCTATTGTCCCTGCATTTATTTGTAACTGTATGACAAACTTGATATAATTTTTTATTGGCAGGGTGGAATGAAAATTTTATCGTGATGTATACTAGAAATATCATAGACTTGATAGTTGATACAGAGTTCAACCACAGATTAATATTTGAAACTGTTTAATTAAACACTGTCTGTAGTTTACGCGAGTAGTACAAATTTCAATTTACTATAATCGTGAGTTTTTAGAAGCATATCCAAGACCGCTTAAATTTTTTAAAGTTGGTTCGATCTGCACCGGATTCAGCATGTTTCTAAACAATATAACATTGGCTAATTACATCGGTGGTAGGAATAACGAAATTCTGTCCAGGTCAAAAACCAACTTCCACGAATAAAAAAGATATGATGTTTAATGGCGTTTTGGTTTCAGTCAGGAGACCCGAATATCCAACCCAAAAATAAGGCGACAGCGCATCGTGAGCTGTTATAAGATGGCTGGGGTATTTCATCTTCATCAATTGAACCTATTACATGTCTGCCTTCTTCTATAAAAATAATTATTCAATATATAATACACAACTATTATATATGTATATATATATATATTTTTTTAATGCATAGGTGCCTATTCGACATTCTATTCCTCTCATTTATTATTATTCCAGTACTATTATTTTTCTGACTATGATTTAATTATAATATGATAATTATTATAAGTTTGGTGAGATATACTGTTTTACCTACAAACTTCTTACTCGTAATCTTAAACGTAAGTCTCCGCTCCTTGCTTAGAATGTCATATCTGCGTAATCTGTGTTCATAATACCGAATAGCGACAAACTCGT